ATGGGGATATTGGGGGCAGGTATGGGGGCGTTGGTGGGGTTATTGGGGGTTCTGGACCCAAAAAATAAAAAGTAAAACAAAAAAAAAATTGCGGGGTGCCGCCGACCCCCGACCGGTATGTGCCAACCAGTCAAGGGGCGCCGACCGTCGGGGTATGAAACACTGCTCCCAGGGTGTATGTTTTGGTTTGATTTTTTGTTTTCTTTTTTTATTTCGAATCTATAAGGAATTCTGAAGTGAGCCTCAGCCAAAAGTTGGTTGGATTGCACTTCTAGACAACGTTTTTTGTTTACATAATTTTTTGATTTTTTATTGGGAGGGGGGGGGGGTTGGGGCCCCACCGAAGTCGTCACCAATTTACTGAATAAATATAACGCCCGGGAGTTATAAACGAATATAACGCCAGCCGGGCGTTATATTCGTATACAACGCCCGGGTGTTATTTTCGGGTGAAGACGGTAGTCAACTCAGGTTAAGATCACGATGTCAAAACCATGACACAAATAAGAACCAGACAGTGTAAACTACCTTCTTCCCCCGAACCAAACGTACAGTCATTATAGCTGTGTCTAGACTGAAAGATGCCTCAAATACAGCTATAATGACCGTACGTTGTATTCGGGGGAAGAAGGTAGGGGGCACCCTCATTTCCCTTCATTAAACCACCAGTACACCCAGCCTGCAGGCCCCTTGCTGCGCCCCAAGGTTTTCCGAACCGCCAGCGCCGCACTTTTTTCTTTTTTGGCTGGCGCCGCCAGCCATCGTGGTCCAGTAGGCCGAGCCTCCAAAGTTTTCATGGGCTGTGTACTGGGGGTTTAAAGCAGGACCAAGGATACGGAGCAAACGTGACAAAAGAGAGACAGCAATTGATGAACCTACCGGCGAGGCATTGAAGAACGTACCTGCGAGCTTTGTTCTTGCTGGAGCTGAGACCTGAGTGCATATTCATTCACCAACCCTTCCCCTGCTGTCTGCAATGCCATGGTGTTGTTGCCCGGTTTGTCTTTGAACGAACCCGTTCTCATATCATGAGCTTCACGCGCACGTCTCTCTTCAGTCTCTTCTCCTCCCTCCTTTCGTCTTCCCTCACCAGTCGCCTCAAACCCCAACAACAACAAATCGGGAGGGGTGATCCCTAAAGACTGATTTGCAGGTTGGGTACATTCATACAGAGCTGATCCACTGCCTCTGCCGCTGCCGTGGGATTCCTCCCCCTCCTCAAGTGGCTGCAGGAAGTCCTCTTTGTCAAGCGCCTCGGCAGCAGAGGCAGCCTCGGCATTGTCATCTCCCGGCGGATTTACAAAAGCTGGTACGATCGCCATGTGGCGATTGTCTCCTGTCTCCGTCCATTCCCTTCCACAAATCCCGCCAAAACGCTGATCCAGTCGTACAGCACACAATCCTTTACTCTTTATGCTGTCAACCCCCTCCTTCTTGCCCGCGTCTTCCATGCAAGAAGCAAATCCTTTTCCACTCACTCCTCCGTCTTGTTGGGAGTTCACTTCCTCGTCAGGTCTTTCGGTTAGCGAATTTCCATCCGGACTTCGGTGATGCTTAACAAGCTTGCCCGCAGATGCGAGTTCGATCTGGGCTCGTCTTGCGTCCTCATTTTCCACATCCCTCGGCATCCCACTTGCAATGGCACTAGCATGTTCTGAGTCGCATGCTTCCGTTCTCTGTCCGTGCAATTTCTCCATGCAATCCCTTTTGTCATTCACCGCGGTGCTTTCGGATTCATTCTCATTCTCGGATTCTGGGCCGATCCCTGGGCCAACAGGAGGTCTCTGAAACATGCGGCGTTGCCCAGTGTCACACTGGGAGGCCCCTTTCACGTTTTCGGTTTGTTCCGCCGCTGATGCAGTTTGAAGATGCCCCGGATCTAGAACCTCCCAGAGTGACACACTTCTCTCCTTTCCTGCATGGGCATGGCTTGGCTTCCTCCATCCCTCTTTCCTCTGCCGAGCGTCTTCTGCATCTGCGTCGGGTACTACGCCATAAAGCCAAGCACTACGCATTCTCCATGCATCTGCTTCGGGTCCCGAATCTCGTGAGAACGGCTTATGATGACCAGGAAGGCAATGCTCCTCGCTAAAGGCCAACCGTGTTGCGGCCTCTCTTAAGGAAGCCTCAAACTCCGATGGAGGGGGTAACTCACGCGCGGGAGAACTCGATGCAAAGAGATCGACATCGATGGGCTTACTACCCCCATTCCTCTCCCGTTCATCCTGTCACGTCAACAGAACAGAAGAGAAACCAGCCGGTATTTGTCGGCATTGCTCGTTTCCGGGAAATACTAAAAATATTAACAAAATCAAAGTGCAGCACTGTACGGTCTTCCATGCCACATGAACTTCTAACAGCCGAAAAAGCATCTTTTTTGCAACCATAATCCCCCCCATACTCTGATCCTGTCCAGCCAAACCCATCAGACCCACCCAAAGCCATCGAAATTCAAGACCCATCCAAACCCACGCAGATTCCAGAGATATCCAAACCCATGCAAACCCATCGAACTGATCGAAACCCTGCTAACGAAGAACCATGCCCAGGTCTCACATAAATATATCATTATTAATATTTATTAATAGGATGACCTTCCGAAAAATTGAAGCATAATCAAGTGTATGATGCTTCGATTTTACGGCTGGTTGACCAAACATGATGTCCCAAAAGATGTGTTCATAAAATCTATGTCACGATCCAGGAGGCCCGAGACCCCGGGCATAGTGGCCTTGGTCCCGCCTGTGCAGGCTCGGCTGAGCAAGACCCAGGCAACGTGAGAAAGATGAAAAAGGTAAAAGATATTCAGAAATTTCAAGAAAAAATCAATATGGTGTTACTGTTGTGTAAAATTTTTGTACAAAATACTACAAACAACTTCTGGCTGAGGGTCATCTCCAAATTCCTCCTCGTTATCAAGATAAAAAATAAAATTGAAAGAGAAGCTGGGCTACCAGCCGGGCCGCCCGGGTCACCTTGTTTGACCGGGGGGCGCGGCCATGAGAAGACCAGTGAAGGGCCCAGCAAATATATATATATATATATATAGTCACAAACAGAGCTATATATATATCGTCAAACA